TGAGGGCACGAGATAAATTTGTGCGTGCACGAGATGGAAGGCTGACAGACAGGGCGGCAATTCAATTGGTTGTAGTTTTTACAGTATTACGGGTTCCACAGATGACATTTTTTTATGGATTTTTTGTCAAAGCACTTAAGATATTCATTGCTATCGGGATGTTAAGAGCATTCCATGGAATATAACAAAAAGTGTATCTCAAGCCGGTTTCTGAAACTTACCTACCCCACCTTTAAGGGTGCCAATTCCTTCAACCACATTCTTGAATTTATATATAGGCCTGTCAACAAATCTGTTCCAACCAATAATTCATTTCAGTGTGTTTCTCCTTCAAACAAAAATGTGGGCTTTCTTTGGAGCATGCATCTCTAGTTGGTTTGAATACGACGCACTTAGCCGACTGTAAACAGGAATCTGTATGGACCAATTAAGATTCAAAACATTTCCTAAAACCGAAATAATATCAGCGTATCTAACTTGTGTTGGATAGTGTGAATGTGCATGTAAACGTAGACCTTGTCTGGGTTATTATTAAACAACAATACACAAAAGAGACAGGAAACCATTTTTTAAGAGATAAACATTACTGGATGCTGCTCACCTCATCCAATTAGACTTGCTTTCATCAGATGCATCGATGTAGACAAAAGAGGCATCATCCCGGATCTGGAAAAGGGAGCAAACTATTTCAATATAAACATTCCTGCTGGTTATCAAGTCACAAATTCCATATAAGTGATTAAAAATGGGATTGCATCTCAAAAAGTGTTTACTCACAGCCCAGGCGTATTTGAGGTTGGTCGGCATTTGTCCTTTGCACACTTCTCCAACGAAGGGCCCAAACATGACTCCCTTCTGCAGGTGACACTTGGCGTACACTTTGATCTCTTCCATCTGGTCTTCGCAGGCAGAACCAGACATTCCAGACGCAACATTTTCGCACATGCACAGGCAGGAGGGCAGGGACAGCGCTGCCCGGGAGGGACCGCCATCGAGCCACGGCTCCCCAGGAGGCAACACGGCGTCCGGAATGTAGTTGGAGTGTGAAGCACTGTGGAGGAGCGGGAAATCCTCCAAGAAATCTTCATTGTTTATTTCCAAACCTGAAGAAACAAACGGTTGAGAAATAGTTACGGTAATGTTATTAAAAACGGGGAGGACTACATTTTCATGGAGCTGTTTTGTATAGGCACAACATTTATGGAATAAGGCCACAATTGGCAATAATAGTAAATAGAGAGGATGTTGCAGCATAAGAAGGTGATGCTACTTTACTACATAGTAGGTACACAATATTTTGGATATTTATTGCAAAGACAGAAGGTTTGGGTTTGTTTTTATCCTTTTATTTCATTCCCCCACCAAAGAAAAAAAACGTTATTAGAGCGTCTTGTATCCAGCATCACCGTTAATCATTGGGACATCTATCTGAACGTTTCACACAGAATGCATTTATTAAAATATTGAATACTTGGCGGCCGTGGTGTAGATTTTGACTGATCTTCTATTAAAGGCGCCCCCTTATCTAGTGGCAGTCCTGCCGGGCAGTTTGAATCGATCTTCGGCAATATCTTCCTCAGTGGCTTAGGGACCCCGGGGGGTGGCGCCTGGAGAATTTGGATTGTGATTTCAGTCCTGTTATAAGAAAAAAAATATTTATGTTATTTCAGTAGCTGTTCTTGGGTATTTGTAGATTACATTATCAACAGGTGAAGGACCGTATCTTACCTTCGCACAGTAGTTTGTGGAATAACAGGAATAATTGCTGCCGCCTCCATTTCTGCATCACACAGTAATTGAAACGGTGTGGTGCTGATGCAGTGATTGGTGTAGACGGTTGACGTGCATGCTTCTTTGGACATGCGGGACAACATTGCGCCAAGAGAATTGACTCCTAGGGGGACGTGGCTGTACCAAATCTGATCTGTAGGTTCTTTCTTAAGTTGCAAGTAAAGGTCGACAGCTTTGGGCGGAAACTTGCTGATGTACTTTAAAAGAGAAGTCACGGGACAGAATTCATTGCCTGGTTTCTCAAACATAGAACTTGTTTCCTTCTCATTATGAGTTTTTGCTTCGTCTGGTAGGGATAAAGTTAGGTATCGGAGTCCTTTCCCGTCTTGCCTGAGTACAAATGAATCTTTTCTCAGCTTCCTGTTGGCTTGCTTCCCTCTGCGGCCGAAATGTACCTGAATATCAAACCAGACTTTGTTCAGGAGTCCCTTTGGAGTGCTGGTGTCCATTGCTTTTGAGCGTCTGAGGATGAGGATGTCATCAGGAGACAGCGTTGGGTGGGGTGAGGACATGTCTAAACCAGACTTCCTTATTTTCCTCAGCACGCCCAGGAACACCTTGTTTGCTGAGGTGAACTCCACATCTCTCATTATGTTCACAGGGCGATTAAGAGGAGGAATTTTGAAGACGCGGTTAAGTCCGGCTCTCAGGGCGAGGTAACTACAAATCCCATACAGCTCTCCTTTGCTGTTTCGTAATGATCCGTAATATCTCCTCAGCAGAGTGTTCAGCTCGGTTTTATACACAGTGGCCAGGTCCACCTGCAGCCCCTGGGACTCCAACCAGCAAGTGAAGGATCTCACAGCCCATCGTGTCTGCTTCTGTGCAAGCTTACTTATTTCACCCATGCTCTCTTCAAGTTCATCCAGTTCCAAGTCTAACAGCATAACTTGTCTAGAAATCTCAGCAGGATTTAGCACACACTCTTCCTCTTCTTCTTCATCTTCCTCTGACTCATACTCTTCTTTCACAATGACCTTCTCTTTGGTTTCCACTTGACACAAATCCATTTTTTCACAGGAATCCTTCAGATCTGCATTCATAGTGTTAGCTGTTAGCTCCATTAGCTATAAATGTTTATATTTTATGTTAAACGAGGCGTTGTTTGGGTTTGACAGTGTTAGCAACGCGCGGAGTGATACAGTTGAAGTAGTCCGTTTTTTCCAGTGCAAAACGCCGATTATAGCACAGTCATTATCAGCTTGTTTTGAAGAGACGGGATAACGGAACGATAAAAGATGGCGGCTCTGAGTGGCCAGTCACTGCACCAACTCCAGTGCTGTTGTTTATTGCAGGATATCAGAACAGCGGGAGAATAGCAACATATCGACCAATCCATAAATTATATTTTGAATAACAAAATATTCCCAAATGTTACCTTAGGCTCTTTAGCGTACAACGGATTTAGTTAATGTAGGTGATGCCATAGCAACAAACAACAACGGCTTAAAACGGACTGCCGTAAACAGACTTTTAGCAGTGGGGTCGTGGTCCCTTTGCGCATGCGTACAAGTATATATGGAAGGTTTACAGATGTTTGTTTATACTCACTGCCACACGGAAACTATGGTCCCTTAATGTGACATGGAACTTACTTTATGTATTAAAGAGCCTGACATTTAGTAATTCCCTTGTTTAAAAAACAGATATATTTACGGTTTTACTTGCAAAAACGTGTGGGTCGGTGTTACTTAATAGACTCTGAGTGTAAGCGACTGTCTTGATTTTTGTACACTCTTTGATTGTGTCCGATACATAGGTCCGATACAATCTCACTGCATGATTGGAAATAAAGGTTGCATTCAAAGAAGTAACACACTAAATACATTGACATCAGTCGGTCTAATTGTTCCTTTAACTTATACAATTATATCTGTGCTCCCACGTGGTTGAACGTCTGCATTCATTACAATGCATCTTTAAAACCCACACTAATGCACCACTGCAATTGTGTTTTGTCAGTTTAAAAGGGCATGGATAAAATCATCAGTGGTCAATGCAAGAAGAATGAAATGTGATGCACTCTTTGGATACAATGTATTTGCAGTGAAAACTTTGCAATTGGTATACCTTGAGGCTCAAACAAAAGTCCAGAGGTTGTGGAAGAAGGGGTCTCAAAAAAATCAGCACGATGTCGACGCTTCAGATGACTTCTTAAATTCGTGGTATTTCCACCTTTTACAAGGACTATTTTTCGGCAAAGACGACAAATAGCCTCCCCGGAATTCAAAGGTTGTCCCCTTTCATCTGCTTTCAAGCCGAAGTACATCCACACGACTGACTTGCTTCTTGGTTTACAGACGAGATCCATGTTTTGCTGAAACTTCTCTGCTCTCGCTGCAGGCTGAGGCTGTCCGCTGGACTGCTGCTTGTTGCAGCACTGCCACAGGAGTTATGCTGGATAGAAAGGACATTACCCGGAAAATGTATTCAATTATTTTGAGCACAATTTAAAATATAATTCTAAACGTGTGTCGATGACAATGAGATCATTATTTAGGCTACACATACAAACAGCCGCCGTGCATAAATGTGAAAACAGAAGGAAATTGTGAGATAATCTAGATTTTAAAGTGGATACAATTTCCATCTTCTTAATATATTTTGTGACATGCACAAATGCTAAGCACACTCTACTTTCAGGGGCTTTTAGGAAATAAAACAATAGGATGACATGCATTGAATCGGTTTCTACCTATGGTTTCTACCTGCTCTATTTCTATGCTTTCTACGTCATTTTCTGTAGACCGACGACAACATACTGCGACATGTCAGGGTTGCCAGGTTCTGTTGTCAATAGACCTCACAAACTCCAAACTCAGACACAGTATGATGGCAATTAATGACTCTTTATGAAGAACATACTACCTCAGAATAATATGTATTATATTGGATTATTGATAGTAGTTGGAACTGATTGCTTCTAATCACAGAATCCCTTGATCTTAATATATAACAATATGTCACAATGTCTTAGTAAAATAAAGTAATTACAATATTACCCATTGAAATGTAATAATAGAGGTAGGGTTTGTTGTAGGAAGAGTAAATGCACAAGTATAGTTCAAGTGCCTCAGATTACATTACATTAAAAACTAAATGTACTTAACTATGTTACTTTCCACCACTGATGAAAGTACGTGAAATCTCGAAATCTGGCAACACATGGGCACGTGTTCCTGATGCTGCCATCTACAGTTTGAGGTTAATCATACCGGATGAGTTCATGGAGGCATGAGGAGTCTGATTTTTGCCTTCCAGTTATACAAACATCTGGAAAGCCGAGGTTCTTTACAAGGGCCGGCTCGGTGTCAACTGCAAATCAGGTAACCACTAAACCCGATATTTTTTTTTTGTATTTGCAGGCCAGAAGTCGCTCTTTGGTATGACCTCACATTATGCTTATGCTTCAATTTCGAAGCTCACTGGACTTTATCCTAAGTCATAGCTTCATCTCAACGTAACGTTAGTTTCTTTTGGTAAATTAAGCTTTTAGTGGCCGAAAATGTGTTATTTCCTCGTTCCGACAGTTAGCCCAGCCAGTGCTAACAGCATTGTGGTCCTGCGGACTTGCCGTAGCTGTCTTCTTTGTGGTGGGGTAGGGGTTGCCATGGCATCCTCACTCACAAGTTATCGATAGTAGAAACTGAATTTTGAACCGCAGACACAGCATTGAGCGTGAGCACACATAAGAAAGAAATGGCTTCTTGCCTGGTTCCCGACTTCCCGGCCGTCATGGTGGCTCTGGAGCATTTAAAGGAGCTGGACGAACAGCTAAAAGAGGAGAGAGTACCTTTCTTACCTGAAGCCAGCATCAACCTGAGGGAGATAACGGCATCGATCACTGAACTGGAGGCTGACCGTCGTGCCTCTCATGAACATCTAGAGGTGGAAACCATAGAAAACAGCAAGCTAAGACAAAAAATTAACAAGATAAGAGAACGTATGAGACAGGAAATCGTGGCGGGTGTAGCAGCAGCCCGGGCATCTAACGCTGAGGAGATTGAGAAGCTGCACAAAGACCTCAAGTCAGTTTGCCAGCTGCAGGAAGTCACTGTGAAGAGGGATGAAGTCCTCTTGAGCCAGAACAAAGCACTGCACCCAGAGCTAGAGCAAGTGAAGGCTTGGCACAAAGAGATCATAGCAGCTCAGAATGATCAAATCACCTTAAAGTATGGCCTGCAGATGCAGCTGGATCAAACACGTGATTGCATTGAGGATCTGAAGTCCTGCATCGCTGCTGTCGAACAGGATACAATAACACTGCAGCAGAAGACGGTGCTGGGGAGGGAGTCCTTCTCTGTGAGAAAAGATAAGTTGTCCGAAGAGGTGGACCAAGTTGATGAGAAAATTAAACAGCAGAAGCAGGTGGTCAGGAGGAGCAGAATAGAGTCGGACGGACTTAATGACAGGAAACAAAAAACCCACAATCATCTGGGAGAGCTCATGATGGACATGGCCAAGCTAGAGAGCAACTTACGAAGACTGGAAGCCTCTCGGTGCCAGAACGAGAAACGGCTGCAGGTGGACAGCCAAAAGCATCAAGAGTTGAGGCAACAGAGAGAAACGCTGCAGAAGGAGTTGCTTGAGTTAGGGGAAGCCTTTAGCAACACCGTCCAGGGTCTTAAAGAGGACATATCCACGGTGGAAGGTACAATGGAGAAGGGTCGAGAATCCAGATTGTGCTGTCAAAACTCCCTGTCACAAATCTTTGAGATATTCAAGTGTCAGCGCGAAGAAGAGAATGAAGTGAGGGCCGAGCATTTCCACGTGTTGCAGCAGCTGGAGAGATCCAAGCTGCAGCTGGAGGAGCGCATCGCCTCCGTGGTCAGACACGGCAAGGAGATCAAAGAGATGGACAAGCAGATCCGAGAGCTCCTGGAAACGGACACAATCACAAAGCGCGTGTTTGAGAGGAATCAGGAAGAGCTGTGCGACAACGTGGATACTGAGAAGAAGAACATTGAACGTTGCGAGGAGGAAAAGAGGCTGACGATGAGGCTCACGCATGAGACGAAGACCAAGCAGGAGGAGCACGTGGCGAAGATGACCTCTGACACCAGCGACACCAGGAGGAGATACCGGGAGCTTCGACAAGAGGAGGCCGCGCTCCACAAGCGTCACCCCAAGAGCACAAATGCGGACTTGCTTATGAGCCACATGACCCAATGTGAGGTGGAGTTCAGACAAGAAGAGACTACATGCCATGAGGAAATAGAGCAGTGCCTCATGGAGGTAGCAACTATCAACATTAGCCATGAAGACAAGCAGAGGGAACTGGAGGAGGAAGAGGAAATGTTGAAGGACGTGGCGGCAAAGTGGAATGAAGAGCAACCCAGGCACCAGAGGCTGAAGACTCTGACCTCTGAGCTGAGGAGGAAGAGGAGCGAGCTGGAGCTGACAATCCAGTCGCTGAAAGAGGAAGCTGGGTCTCTGCTGCAGCCTAAAGAGGAGATGAAGGCCGAGCTGGAGGCGATGAGAAAAAGCTACATGGACGTGCTCGGAACACAAACCTCAGAGATGACAGCTGTGGAGATAAGCGTCTACGACAATAGCGTGAAACTGGAGCAGGTCAGCACGGAGAACAGCCGGCTGCACCTCGCTATCCAGCAGATGACGGAGGATGTCATCGAAGCCAGGGAGGACAAAGAGCGATACTGGCAGGAGGTTCAGCAGTTGGAGCGGAACACAAAGACCTTGTTTGAGAGCTTACAGGACGCATGGAGAGTGGATTTACAGACGACCCAGGACTGTCAGAACGGCGACAGTGTTCTGCTGGAGTCCATAAGCGGCGTGTTGAACCACCTGAAGACCAGGAGACAACAGTTAGGCACCATCAGCACACACCTACATTGTGTCATGCTGGACTTCAGCAAGCGGGTGGGGGGGATACATCCACTGTAGAACAGCAGAGCTAGTGTCTCTGAGCACTGTGCATTGAATTCTCAATGTTGTTGTTTAATTGACATTTGAAAGAAGAATAAAGATCACAGCAAATAAAATGGGTTATAAGGTGTTGTCTCTTAATTTAATTTTAATTTCAGGCTCATATCCACGAGTAGACTTCAGTAAAAGGCATCCATATAGACATATTCAGTTTCTAATACAGCATGTAATAAACTTTATAGTACCTGTATTACCAATAGTTTTTATCATCGATTAAACGGCCCAGATTCTTCTTGAATAATCGTTAAGAATATCAAAAAACTTTGGAATAGTGAAAGAGGTCGATAGCAGTTTCTTAAAGTCCAAGGTGATGTCTTTAAATGTCTTGTTTTTTATCCCGAAACCCAAAGATATTCACTTTAATGTGATTATAAAAAAGAGGAAAGTATCAGTATCGTATTCCATTTTTGCCTCAGAAATTCATTGTAATTAATCATTTTTAATCAAATATCATAATAGTTGGCATTACTCATCAATGAAACGCTAAGTCGACTAATCGTTGCAGCTCTACTAACTCTCTATATTAACATTTTATATTTGAAGTAATGGTGGATGTTCAGACATTTCTTTTGACTTGAACATGATTCATTTCTTCATTGGGTCATTCTGATGCCAATTTACCAAGAGCTCCCTTTAAACAATTCATGTGACATGTGATTTAGTTCATGGAGCCTTTGCAACATATTTTAGATTTGTTTAGTAACACATTTGATTATTGTTAATGTATCTCTGCCTCACCAGCTCCTACTTTTTCACTGGATTTGGTTGGAATTGGTAGTTTACATCCAAAAACTGTTTTTGGAAAATGTGTGTATGTAGTAAATTAAACTGTTTTGGAATGCTTACAGTAATCAAATGAGTTTGAACAAATGAATCAAACAAAATCAAAAAATAGTTTTCAAATACATCCACTAATTGTAAACTTCTTGAAACCAAATGTTTATTATAATAAAATATATTTGCAGTATAATAATGTTTACGGAGCTTGCTTGATGAAAACATTTTTTTTCATTACATAATGCTCAAATAGTAAAAGGATATAAACGCCTTTATTACTTCATACTATGTATATACTTTTAGTAACAAAACTACATGTTTGAAGAATACAGTATTTCCACAAATTCCCAACCAGTTTTTCTTATTTTAACTTTACTAAGAAGTGTTCAAAAAAAGAATAAAAGAGTTGCATGTAAACATTATAACATTCCCTCTGCCTGTTACATCCATCAGCTGCCATGTTGATTTTCAGCTTGTAAATATAATTAAACTCAGCTTTTCTTTCTCTGCAGGTTGTTAACAGTTAGACCCTCGCTCCTACCAGCAGGTGGCAGAGGAGACCAGCTCTCTCTCACCTGTGACCTTCCTCTGCAGCTAGAGGGGTCAAACAACCACCCCCTTCCCTCAAAACAGAAACACTACGTTCCCGTCGCCTGTGTCGAACACTATTATGGACCACACAGAGGCAGAGAAAGTAGGCTGAAACACAAGGCAGCAGCTGCAGACGTGGAGCTGGAGGAAATCAGCTGTTATTTCCAGTAAAGAAGGTAAGTCTTTGAAGTAAACTTTGCCTGCTACGTCATAAGATATATTTGGGGCTAACAACAGGCTATATATATACATATATCTCTTTATTTTCCTCCTGCTGCTTTAAAGTTAGGCCTTTTGAGTAATGTAATGTTTTATATTTTGGTCACACAAGATATCATCTTTTCATAGCAAAATGACTGTTGTAAAAACAGTTTTTATGTCAAATGAAATCATAAATATCCAAGTCTAATGTCTACTGAAGCCTTTATAGAGAAGACGCAAATTAGCTGCTTTTAGCAAGTATAATGAAACTAAAATAGAAGTCATAATTCCCTCTGAAACATCACCTTCTAACTGGATTTATTAATCGTAAAATTATCTCCCTGTTTGTTCACAACTAAAAGAAAATGCCACTTACTTTACTAATGCATAATGTATGTGTTATGTGGGTTGGGTGGCTCCTTAGACCCCATTTACACGGGAACGTTTGCGTTTACGCACCAAATTCGTTTTCAAAAAGTCTTCCGTTCACACGCATTCGGCTCATTTAACGTGTCCGTTCACACAAGACCAATGGAAACTCTGTAGTACATATGCCGGGCCTGTTGTGGCGCTGTACTTCTGCACGAGACCGCTCAGGAGCGCTGGAGGCGCTGTAGTATATATGCCGGGCCTGTAAGTGGCGTAGTAACTTCCGCCACAAAGTACACCAAAAGCAGCGAAGAAGACCCCTGAGCATGGTTGCCATTGTTGCCCTTCTGTTTATGCCCCGCTGTGGATTTAGCAACATGTAGTTCATGTAATTCTCCATGTCCACTTGTTGCTGATGGTTTTGGTAGAGCAGGGGTTCCCAAAGTGGGGGTCGCGAGACCCCGACGGGGGGGTCGCGAGATAATTTCAGAATCCTCTTGATGTGACCCCTGAGGTGTTTTAAAAAATATTAGGGCCGGGACTTTAACGCGTTAATTAAGATTAATTAATTACACAAAAATTAACGCATTTTAATCGCACTTATTTTTGCACCGCGGAACGTTTCTCACTGGATGAGTTTCAGGGGTACCGATTATACTGGAGCACCAACTAACGTTCATGACTTCAAACAACAACAAACCACAGTGAACAATAGTCAAACGTGAACGAACAAGCTGATGAGACCGCTTTGGTTGGCCCCGTGGATGGGACATTTTGTTTTAAAAAACGGACGGATGGAAGCATCGATAAGAGCACGGTTGTTTGCAAATTATGCAAAAAGGAATTTGCGTATCACCGCAGCACATCAAGCCTCAAGTATCACCTCAATGCAAAACCTATAGCAGCTAGCGTGGAAGCTAGCGTGGACGTTAGCCCGACTCGGAGTACAAGGACCCACACCCAATTCGCGTTGAGTGGCCTATGCAACAGAGAGATTTTATTTTTCATCAGGATATTGGAAGAATAGGAGGGATTGAGGTCAATCACTGGCACTTTTTTATTTTATTTTAAATGGTACAGTACACTTTATGTTGAACTATTTATTATGTTGTTGGTGCAACTGGCACTTTATGTTGAACTGTTTATTGTTTTGGCCAAGGTTATTGAGAGAGTTGGACTGAAATTGATTAGATTTTTTAAATCAACTGTTGGTAAATCAACAAAGTCTGTTATGGCCTCTGAAGCAACAGAGAGATGTTTTCTAATAGTCAGGGTTTCCAATGTTCTGAATGTACTTGAAAGTATTAGAAAACATCTCGTGGACCTCAGAGCGCCATTATCCGAGATTTGTTGACGATTCTCCAGTTCGATATATAAAAAAATCGTAATCACAGTTTCAGCACAGTCCAACTCGCTCTCAACTACCTTGCGCCAAAACAATAAACAGCGGTTACTAAGAAGCCTCAGCCTCATATAGCCACCAGAACAACGTAATAGAATAGTTTCAACATAAAGTTACCATTTAAAAGGTCAACTAAAGAGATTGCCAGTGGATGTCGGCATAGCCTACAATCCCCTCCTATTCTGCTCTATGATATCCTGATGAAAAATAAAATAATCTCTCATGTTGCCATAGGGCCACTGGTTTGATCAACGCGAATTGTGGTGTGGTGTCTATGTATCCGAGGTCGGCATATGTCCGCAGCTAACTTCCAGGCGGCGCTAGGTGCTTATATGTTTTTGCATTTCGGTGATACTGAGGCTTGATGCTGCTGCGAGAGCTGATAATGCCAATAAGGTTCAGCACAGGGAGTCTCTCGACATAAGGTATCGCT